ATTCGCGATAATTTGGGTGTATACGCGATTTCACATGTACTAAGCCACCAAGCCTCCCACTATTACTATTTTAGTATGTTATACAATGTTCAAAAGAAATTAATAGATTTGCCAAAATTGGGCATTGTTACCAGAATGGATGGAGAATTACTAATAAACTATGTACATGCGGCAAAGTTACCGACTAAAATATGAATTTAGAACAATTCGTTACAGTAGACAAAGAGTGGTGTAGTCTGATAGGGAAAAGTAGGGCACTCGTGTCTTCATAATCGCATTTTAAAGTATCTTTTATCCAGTAAATTGTTACAAAGCACCCTTGTGCAATTTTTTCAAGATGCAGATTGTTACAAACGCGTATCCTTAGATATATTCAAGGCCATATTTTCGAGTATTTGTTATGACCAGAAAGAGCTTATCATTGAAACCCAAAGGTTGGGTCTTAAACCGGATCTTGGGTTCGAAACATGGAGCTTGTTTCCAAACCCGTATACTAAATATCGTGACAGTTACAGCAATTTACATATAAAAATAAAGAAAACTACATATAGAAAACAAAGAAAACTACACGTGTGAGCGAAAATGAAGAAATTTCGTAACAGCATTAATTTTATTGATATCTCAGCTACATATAATTCCCAATATCTATCAATACAGCAATATCTACTTATCAAACCTCACGTACTTGTATGGCCTTTGTTGGGTATCTCCTTTTCCTCTCCACGTAGTATGGATTTTATACCCTTCGTAGATGCTGATGTTGATGTATTTTTTGTAGGCGCTGCGACGTCGTCAAAGAACGATGTTGATGTATCCATATATAATACTGATGTTGATGTGCTTGGAATTATTTTCAAATTTTTATCACAATGGTTCTTTAAAAATTTATAGATTCGTCTTTGCAGTTCGAGAAACGTTGGTCGTAATTTTTGCAAAAACTTTATGTAAAGGTCGTTGGAAGATGATGAATTTAAATTGATAGAAAAGTAAGCAACAAACAGACTCTTAAGAAATTCCGAAGGCGAATACGTATTATACGTATTGCGGCACAAATTTTTTTGGCTCCAAGTTTGTCTAGAAGAATTCTCAAACAATCAAGCATCTCGATGAAAAAAGTTCCTTGATATTGGATGATAATTGTGAATCAAAAAATGATTATAGATTATCCGAATTATGTTTGAATCACGTCTAATAAAGTATGTGAAAATTACTTCATCATCTATGGCAGGTAGTATTGATCTAACTCCTTCCCAAGCAACGACCAAATCGTTTGTCAATATAAATTGTATTTTAGTTTTATCAGAAGGACGATTCGAATGCTTCAGCTTATATAAAATAGCTTGAATTGACTGATCATAGTAAATACAACTCTCTTAAATTCTTGCATCTTAAGAGTCTCAGTCATTTCATGCAGTGATGTTTGTACCCATTTTCTTACTTCGTCATTCTTATGTAGCGTTAATATGAGTACACCCGTCAAATAACGGGATTAAATCGGAATGACACGTCGGCTTCGAAATGTGCCATAATTTCAACGAATAATTATTCGCACCTATTAGTAAAAATGGGTTGAGATGTATTTCTAAAAATGCTGTTGTATTATGAGTTCTAACGAACGAGATACTCGTGATTTTGTTCCATGTTTTTTTTTTTTTTTTTTTTTTTTTTTTTTAACATGCTTGATCGCAGGACGCCAGTAGGCGTACAAATCTTTATTAACTCATTTTGTATTAAAGAGGGTCTTCTAAACTTGTAAGATCCCCCACATTTAAGAATTACATAAGTTAACTATCTATATATCGATCTTAACTATATTTAGCTAATCTTAATCACGAGCAACTGGATTACCAGATGACCCGATTACAACCTCATAGGAGGACTTTCGTATGATTGGCTGTTTAAATCAATTTAATTTTACATTATTTATACAGTTTAAAGTACTT